ATACGCTAATAACAAAATAAAGTTTTACATGTATTTATAATGACATTAGTTTCTTTCATGTTTAGATTGCAAACAAACAGTAGAATATTACGTGGAGTACATTGATATATACTACATATAATTGTTATCATATTCCATTATATTATAGTATGTATAACTATTATATTGTAATTAATATTAATTATTGTCACATAATAATTACAATGGTACAATTTATATTTACATCACGCATTAATTAATTCGAAATGATTCGTTGGAAAATGAGGACAATTTTTGTACACGTCGACTAAATGAAGACAGACATTTTCTAACGAACAGCGGCGTGGCTAAGATTACCTTGCAATCATTCATCTATCCAATCAGTCTTCCACAGAAGGATTCCGGTGGACAAGATTACCAGAACGTCGACGAAGATCGCTATGAAACAAAGTCCTACGATGTACGCGGTAATCCACATCAAATCCAACGTTATCGCATCAAGGCAGCCCGGCGTTGACGCGCTCCTCTTCTTCTCATCGCTGTTATCGCCTACGTCGGGGCTAAGTACAAGAGGAACGTTCGACAAAGTGAAGGAAAAGCATCCCCCCCCCCCAAGGCCACCTTCATTCCCTGTTTTTCCCCCTTTTCCACTCTCGCGACGGCAAAGAAACTCAGTGGCGTAGCTAACGAAACCACTCCAGAATTCCTCGAGAACCGGCATTTAACGCCCTTTGATTTTCTTCCAGCGGCACCTGTCGACTTTTTCATGTTTTCGTAAATATTTCCCCTACAGTAGAAGAGATTTCTTCGCCGAGAAAGGTATCTGTCAGTGGATCACGTTTTTATCAAATACGTCAAATACTGTTTTTGAGAGTGATTCCTCGGACAAACGTTTATTTAAAACAATTGATCGAACATGTTCCCTCTTTGTTTGTTCGAATATTTTATTGGATCCTACGAACAACGATGCAAATAATTATTGCTTCTGTTTTAGATTTCGTATGAATTTCAACAGACGTTTGAAAGAGAGTTGATGAAAATAATTGCCCGGAAGAATGTCAGAAATTAATACTTAAATGTGTTTAAGTGAATTTTAAGAACGAGATTCTTATTAAAATAAATCTTTCTCTCAATAAATTTTTACTCGAATTTAATTTATTAATAAAAATTTATCTCCTTATTCGTCATCAAAATAAAATCTTGTCCAACAGCGGATGTCTAGGATACAGAGGAAAATATCTAAAGATCTTTCTAAAGTTGCTCGTTTATCCTGCTCCTGTGTAAAATCATTAACAACGAAATACGGCGTCGAGGAATTCTGCGCCTTCTAATTTTCAATTTTATCTTAAAACTTTGATGATGGTTCATGATCCACCGTGCTACCTAGATTTTCGCCTTTCTTAAGTTTCCTCGTAATGCTTTTGCCACCTCTTTCTCTTCAATTTTACTAAGTCTGACGAAGTGTTTATGACGAAAAAGTTCGTTTGCAATACTTCCAAGAAACCTCAGAAAAAGTCAGAGAGAAAATACAAACCCAATTTTGCTCTAAAAACTCGCTACGTTATTTTCTAAGGACAGAGACACAGAAACGCGCAATGCCAGTGACAGTGAGATATACAATCCCGCGAGTGACTTTCGTATTTATAGTGTTGTTTACCCGACCATTTTTTCTAGTGCACGGAAAGCTTTTTTAGGAGGCAAACATACCCGGAGCTTTCTAGCAGCTAGTATATTAACGTTAGAGTAACGAAAGTCCGTGAAAAATATCACACCCAAGGGGGAGAGACAGAGAGAGAGAGCTTAAGAACTGTCGGCAAGCACGCTACACTCTGAGCCAGCCAGTCCACTGATTTACATGAACCGACTTTGAGACTTCAAGGGTGCTTCCTTCGAAGTAACTACTTTTAACTATAGCAAACACGCAGTGGTGTCTCACCGATACAACGCCAACGTAAATTCAGCGAATACTGATACCTAGTATCGAAAGTAGTTCCAATTTAAATTCTTTTTTTTTTCTCTTTTTGAAGCTGAGAGTGCAAGCCCAACAAATCTAATATCGTAAAAACTTCAATCGAAATTTTTCCTTAATCGAGAGTGGGAAACCTGTCAACATATTGATGATGATATATACTTGATGATGATACAAATCTTCTCTGTATTTTCGCTTCCACAAGAATTTTCGAATCCGCCGCAAAACGAAAGTTCGAACGTGATTTTCGTACTTTTAACAAAACCGCCTCCCGGAAATCAGGAAATTAGCGCGGTCCGTGGTGAATCCGGATTGCGAGAGAACCGAACCTCGAGCAACGGTGTGTAATTCACACAGGTGGGAAAACTTTTGGAATTAAATCCCTGACTACGCCACTGTGTTGCAGGGAGGGGGGAGGGGGGGAGGGGGGAGAAGGGCCGAAGGGAGGGAAAGTGGTGAATGTGAAGTGGCGCTGGCGTGGCTCCTCCTCGGAGCAACCCTCTCTTTCCGGTGCCACACTAATGAGACGCAAAAGCTTTCGCGCTTAAAGGGCGACGATGCCGTGGCGTCGATTAATGAATGTCGGCCTGTTTCGTGTGTCGTGTCCCTGGCAGTTATCAACGCGATAACAGGCCCCCTCCTCGCAACCCTTTCCTTCCGTTCATGCTCTTACGAGACGTTCCGCGCGTATTTTCCCCCCTTTCTACTCTTTCACCCCTTTTCGCTTCCTTCTTTCTTTCTTTCCTTCTCTCTTTTCTTTCTCGCGGAGAAAAACCCAAAGGGAGACGAGTCTGACGAGTGTAATTATGCCAGACGTGGAACGAACGCGCCGGCAGAAAATACGCGGTCCCCCCGGGAACGACTTTCGACCATCTTGCCGCGGCGATGACGTCGAGGAGTCTTGACAAGTCGATTACCAAGTATAAAACGCGTCGATTTTTTCAAACACGAGAAGTTTGGCTCGATCATTGAGATTGTCAAGGGTAATACTTCGTTAAAATTGGGGACTGATTTTCCTTTTGTTTTTTTTTTTCCTCTTCGCTGTTACAAATTTTCCTAACGTATTTGACAATTTGATCCAAAGTATTAAGGATGTCTGACCATGCACGGACTTGTTCCAGTTAAGAATGCCTGACCATGCACTTGAGGATATCTGGCCACATGTGGACCTATTCTACTTAAATATATCTGAGCACGTTCGGACCTATTCTACTTGCGACTGTCTAACCACATACGGGTCTATTCCACTTGCGGGTGTCCGACCATGCGCGGACCTATTCTACTTGAAGGTGTCAACCTGCTACTTCGATTCCACTTCGATTTTTTAAATTTTTAACCGATTGTTATTTCGTACGATTACATTATTTTAAATGACGTAAGTGGTTACAGGATGGTGTATCATTAGATTGTTCTTTCTTTTTGATATTTCACTGTGATATTTAATTTTTTAAAGGATGTTCGTTAAAAAAATTTTACTCCATACTCTTTCTGTTATAACTGAGAACTGATGAATGAATTTGTCCTTACAAAACAATATAACGTTCATTCACTTATCGATTACAATTTTTCATTCCCAGATAATTTATTATTGGATTGTCCCTTCCTTTTTGATACTTGCTTGTGAAAGGAAATTTCACAAATTCGTCTATTACTTTTTCACAGGTTTGATTGACAACTGATGAGTGATCTTGTTCTTTCGAGATAGTATCAAGTTTATTTATTGACCTTCTTGCGATCTCCTAGCGATGAAACAATGTACGGATATAATAGGAGAATTAAGAGGTAAAACAAGAACAAATGGAGTGAATTGCGAA